ACAGGTAATTCAACCTACTTAAAAATTTAAGTAGGTAGCTATAATGCATAAGAACCCAAAAAGGACCGCTAGAGACAACCTCACCCTTCAGAGTTTCTAGCCAACATTTCTGAGTCTCAACCTGGCATTTTTAGGCGTCGAACTGGAACTATCGACGGCACGAATTTTCACCTCACTTGCCTCATGCAGTAGGTTCCCTGGCAATCCGTATGGGCTAAGGTAAAGAGGGGTCGAGGGGGAGAATGAGCCTCCCGTGTTTTGCTAGTGCTTAGCCTTTCAATCAAGACTGCTGTATATGGCCGTTTCTGCTATTGCTTTCCGCTAATGTCTCTGATGAAGAATCTGCGACGGATATCGAAACGTCCGGCGAATAAAAGTGTTGTCTCAGCGATCGAATCGTCTTTTTTCACTTCTGTATGTATGCAACCATTGTAAAACTTGAGAAATGTTGGTTTCTTTTTTATTCGTAGGCTGGGCTTTTTGACTCAAGTATCTCCATTTTAACGGTGCTATTTTCGTTATTCAAAGTGACTGTTGCCTAAAGCATTTCTGCAGCAGAAAATGTTTCAATCATTCTTAAGGGGTTAGCAGGTTTGCTTAATTCAATCATTGGTTTTAGAATTAGCGATTTTTTGAGAATAAAATGTATCTGAAATGGGCTTGCTATTTTGCTCTATTGAAAATAAATATGGGGTGATATTGCCTTTTGGTTGCAGCTGCCAAACACCTGAGTTTTTTTCTTCTAGTTTGCTACCATCTTCCTGGATGAGGCATTTTTTTTTATTTGTAACGCTCGCCGGTCTCTACTTGAGTTCTGCGTTAGGGTCAGCTGATTTTCCCCTTTTATTTTCAAGGCAAGCTCATTCTCTGTGATTTGACTGACATGTAAGGGTAGGCAGATGAGAACCGTAAACAACACACTGATCTTCAACACACGCGTAAGTATATGAGGTCAAAGTTTCAAAAGCAGGAGGTGTTGTGGAGACGAAGGCCACGGTGCAGCCTAGAGCAAACCGATCACGTTACAACAGGTGCCGGAACAAGTCGAGCCAGCGGAGCCAGGCGCGCAGGCAACTAGCGTGCGCTGTTGCTTTGAGCGTGCGTGCCTGACACCTTCTGCTCACGCCTACGGGCCAACTGTTCTTCCGCGAGGGATCACAGCGTGGGAAACGACCAGTCAGCCTGCAGGCCAGAAAGTTCTAGAGCGCCAATCGCACGCCATTGGCAGGAATGGCCAGAGCCCCATATATAAGCTACAGCTGACGAACCTAGCCCTGAAAAAAGTGGCGATGATATTCAACCTTGTGTTTAACGTCGTTTTCAGTTTGATTCTTGCACGGCCACTCTGATTTTGTAGATTTTCACAGCAGCCAACCATCTGTTGGCCGCTCACGCCTACGATGTGGTGCCGTTTGCCGCTGCCGCTGGCACAACCTTCAACAGTGCCAATCAAGCTCAGCGGTCCACACCTACCTTCAATCCCTGCCTGTCGCCTCAACCCATGCGGATCCGCACTTATACGGTTCGTATTGTTGCTGCTTCCCATATATTTCCTATTTGATTTGGAGTTATTTCTCGCCTTCGTGCTCCGATGGCTTCTTGAATGTTTGGTTTGGACGCAGCAGCAGCCCATCATCCGAGAGATGCAGGGCGTTCATATCTCTCCTGCGAGAGATGCCTTGCATTTGAGGTATATCAGTCAGTCCTTCAGGGAGTCGTTGTGGGGGATCAGCCAATTAATGACAAAACTGCTAACGGTTCACTATTTTAGCAGATAGTATTGCTGGCTAAGACAAGGGAGACTGTACTGGCCATTTCTGGCTTATTGGCCGTCGTCAGCTAGCCCTACCCATACCAAGTGGTGCCCCGTTCGAGCTTCGGACTCGCGACCTTTTTGATCAGAATCAAACGCCCTAACCATTGAGCCCCGAGCTCCTTGTCTCACCAGTTCAGGTCAGGGGATATTGACACTCGTTGATGAAAGTTCACCTGACCGTCTCGTGGCTCAATGGCTAGAATTTTTGACTCTGATCAAAAAGGTCGCGAGTTCGAGACTTGGGTAGGACACCACTTGAGTCTGGGTATTACCGGCTCACGACGGCTAATAAGCCATACATCTTCATTATAGTCTCCCTTGCCTTTGCCGGCAACACTTTCTGCCTACCAGCTGGCAGGGCCTCGCACGAGGCCCAAGGCAAAGCGGTACACATGAGTTCCGTTAGCGGTCAGGTTCACGTTCGTAAACGAGGGTTAGTATTTTGTCCACAGGTCAGATGGCGCCTTCAGCATAACTTCTATATTAATTTTACTTTGGTTGCTGTGTGGGGCACGCTGCTGTCTGTGTTTAGGTCTTGCTGTTTGTAAACTTTTTCCCAACTGGAGCACTTTCTTGAGTCCCCTCCCCCGCCTCCCTCCATTACTTAGGTAATCCCTCTGGCACGTCGAAGCGGCCTTATCGAATGGTGCGAGGGCACTGTGCCACTTGGTGACTGGCTAGCCAACGAAACCAACGGGGCTCATCAGCGCTACCATCCCACTGACCTCACGCCTACGCAAGCCAAAATGCGCCTCGCGGGCGTGCGCGACAGGGGCCCGGAACGAAAATTGACCGTCTTTAAGGAGATTTGTGAGAGACTGAGGTCAGTGAAGGTGGCCGTCAGGAGGCTTCCTCCCCTCTTCAGATTACTTTTTTGATCTTTTAAGGCTTCTGACTGTACGCTTCAGCGTCATCAGGACTCGCAGCTGTCAGTCATGTATTGTTGGTGCTCGGTCCTAATGCGCCATCTGAATATGAATGTTGATGTGGCAGCACATAGTCGGAGGCCGTTGATTAGCAAATGGTAATATTTAGTTGTCCTTGGAACGCCTTAAGGCTGTTTGCTCCTCTTTACAGGAATTGATCGTTTTGGAGTTAGGAGACTAACCTCCGACCAGCACCTTTTCACTTGAACCTGTTAACTAACCGTGTCTACTCACAATGCAGTTCAAAATAACCACGTTTTCCCTCAACTTTAGCTGCAGTGTTTACTAACAGTAACTGCCAACTCAGTAAGCTGTTAGTCCATACGACCTCCACCGCACCTAGTACTTTGCATAATATCTACTACAGAGAACTTTACCCCCCTATTGGTATGGCCTGTCTTTCGTGTAAGTTTCATGTAATATCCGCCTGAGCTCGCTTTATTTGCTCTCTCGTCCTCCAGCATACAGGAAACTTAAGCTGCTATTTCGATTTATTTAGCACCGCCATCTAGCTATAAGTCCCGAGGGCCTTTGATTGAAATTAGCCTTTTGGGCCTAAAAAGGTTGGCGCTTATTGCATACTCTGTTAATTCGAAACGAGTCTTGTAGAATGCAAGTTTGTCCAGATTTATATACAGCAACGAAGAAGAAGCAGGCTATCAGCGGAGGCAATTGAATTAGCCCGAGCGTTTCGAAGCCATCTTTCGAGACTGGAAGAAAACAATACAATAACACTTAAACTGTTTTCTAGACGGACAACACGCGGGAGAGTGAAAAAGGCGGCTTAATCCAACTAAACTATGATTTTGTCCGAAGTTGTTCCACTATTCCCACCTATCTAACTGGAAAGACGTCCTAACACAACCGCTTTTGTGTTTTATGAGATGATTGTTATGACGCCTAGGTATCATGGTTGTGTCGTAGTGCTAGCTTAACCATTAGATCTGCGCATGACTAGAAGGTCAAGGAAAGGTAAATTTCGAAACTTATCTTCCTCCCTTAATAGGTTGTCGGAGAAGATGTTTTAAGTAATTTCCGACGACTTAGTAGTCAATCCCTCTCAATCATAACGACCCCATCTACATGTCAGAGGCAAAGGATATAAGGACGTTGCAGCCTCCCTGGCAGACGAATGCATGAATTCCAACATCCATGGGACAAATTAGCAAGGAACGGATACTTAGACGGCTTTATCAACCGCCCACGGCGGGCAAACCCGGGGAGGTCACCAACAGTTTGGCATCCCCTGCCATATAAAAGGAGATTATCATTAGCAACAGAACGCATTCTCGTGGGGTTTGACGTTAGCATCTTCCATAGTCTGATAGCTGCTGCGCGTACTAGGGTCACGCAGGTAAAGAACCAAATTGCCAATTGAAGTGAGTGGACGAGTCAGTTTGTTTGAGAAACAGAGAGAGCCTGTTTGTCAACTAAGTCGTCGTGCTGTCCAGCCAGCATAGTGGCAAAAACAGTCTTGGTATGGAATCTGATAAATTACCCCAAACTACGCACCTACATCCGGTTGGTTTTTCACAAAGGAGGTGCCACGATCGCCGGAACAAGAGCTGACGAGGCCTGGCGATTCGTATTCTCATTCGAATTCATCATTAGAGACAGGGTCGAAAAAGGGTAGCGGATTGCACAGGTGTTGCGGTATTTATAGCATGTAAATTGAGGAAGATGGCAACAACCCGACAGCAACCTGTTATCGTATCACGTGCAGCCACCATCTGCGATGAACGCGAGGTCCGATAATTTTGGCAAGCAGGCCCTCAGGAGTATAACAACTGCAACGCTTGGCCAAGTCGCACAATTATCACGCCACGCGCAACTATCCGCTCTGCATTCAGGAGCTGTCAATTTTGATGTGC